GCAAAGTAATTGAGCCAAGTAGAAACTCTTACACTTAGTTTCTCAAAAATGCATGCTCTGATCTGGTTAGCATTGCAGGGTTCAAAAAACAAAAGCCAGAGAGCCGAGTTTCCCTCGGGTCTAAGAGAGCAACTCCGCCTGCAATTAGGGCTGCAGTTGGTCTTGTGTTTACCTGGCTCGGCTCCTTGGCAGATGAAGAACAGCTCATGTGTAACCCGCCCAGCTGTCTTGACCAAGGGACAGCCGGACCCTGAAGAGGTATTCTCATTTTACTAAATGCTCATCTCAAAAATATGAGGAAGTAGTAGAGATGGAAGATGTCTTCAAACATCAACCCACATGCGTGTCTACTCTAAGTGACCAACCACCATCCGGACCTAACGGGCTTTCCTGTCTCACTCCAAGCTTTAAGCGGTACTGGCTTCACAGCCTGAGAAGGCCCCTCAAGTGGACGCTGGGTGACCGTCCAATGCGGTGCCCCTGGTTCTACATGGTCTCTAGCGGTTCCATGCCCAGAAACGCAGGACAGTGGGGCAAAGGAGCATTGTGCGAAGCTGCCAGATGCTAGAGGCCTTGCTCATCGTCCTGAGGGCTGAAGAGGGGGTGTGCTTTGCCTAATCCACCTTGTCCCTTCACACAGCATGGTCCTAGCTCCTCTTAAACACTGACTAATTCTGCATCTTCTGTGTGACTGTCTTTCCTTAGCCCTGACGGTCGTGAGCTCTCCACAAAGCATCTAGAATGGTCTCAGGCTGTGAAGCCAGTACCGCTTAAAGCTTGGAGTGAGACAGGAAAGCCCTGATGGGCTAACGTCCGGATGGTGGTTGGTCACTTAGAGTAGACACGCATGTGGGTTGATGATTGAAGACATCTTCCATCTCTACTACTTCCTCATATTTTTGAGATGAGCATTTAGTAAAATGAGAATACCTCTTCAGGGTCCGGCTGTCCCTTGGTCAAGACAGCTGGGCGGGTTACACATGAGCTGTTCTTCATCTGCCAAGGAGCCGAGCCAGGTAAACACAAGACCAACTGCAGCCCTAATTGCAGGCGGAGTTGCTCTCTTAGACCCGAGGGAAACTCGGCTCTCTAACTTCTTTTGTTTGTTTTTGGAACCCTGCAATGCTAGCCAGATGAACACACATTTTTTTTTTTTAAACTCCAGGGACAAGGTAAGTTGCATCAAATTGAAATTATTTCTAAAATGATCCATTTTTCAGTTTAGCTCTTCAGGGATAACAGAACACTGAGTAGGTGTAGATTCAGAACCAGGTACCCAATGTGCTGGGCTGGGCCCAGAGGGAGCACTGGGTGGGTGAGAGGGAGACCGAGCTTTCCCGTTCCCTAAGAAAAAGAGGAAAAGGATGAGCTAGGCCTTCCTGGGCCCACTCTGCAGGTGAGATGAGGGCGCAGCTGGGACCACGTCATCCGGCACCCTCTCCCCACTACCTGTTGCTGCCCCCCAGTGCTCCCCACTTGCATCTGGGACCCTGCAAGAGCCCCGGTTAAGATTGTACTTCATTACTGGGCACACAACACTAATAGAGACAGTGTATGGAGCCCCAGGAAAACTTCTGGGTATCTGGGCGCTGGCGAGCTCTCTCTGGCTTCCTGACACCCTCCCTGCTTCTCCCGGGCAGGTTTCACTTTTGCTCTTCCTCTCACCTGAAATGTGCTTGTCATGGCCAGTACAAAGGGTGCCTCCACCCTGAAGCTCTGTTGGATTAAAGCCACAGAAGTGAAACCCACCTCACCCCTCCAGCAGTAAGAGTCAGAGCAAAATGCTTGGGGTTGTTCTGTTGCATTCCTGTTTCTCTTGGTAGTGACAGCTCCACTTCCCATTACACCTTGCCCGTAATAGCCTGGCTCCACTAGGGACTCCCCATAACCGCCCTCCATGTACAGTGTCAGCCCACAGCATGCCATCTCAAAGGATATGTTCCACAGCTCAGTAATGAAATTATTAGTATTAGTAAAAACCCAGGCAAACTTGATTGCTTGTAGCTGTAAATCTGCCAAGAATGGGGACAAATGGAATCAGGGCTGTGAGAGATGGATCTGTTTCATCAACCAGGTGATCAAAATGTAACACATTTACACTTCACAATTGCTCCACAGTAGATTGGATGACTAACAGAAAGTCTTCCAATGGGAAATAATACTTGGTATTACATTTAGTTGTGTGGCATGTACAGTGTTTGAGCTACTGTACAAAGAACTGCTCTGATTCATTCAATCTTTAGAAAAATGATTTGGAAGAGATTAAGCTACCTATTGCTGAGGCTGACAGACTCATAAGCGTGTGGTGCTTTCTGACCTTCCCCCAGTGTGAGTTGAGCTGTAGGACACTGCAAAGTAGCCAGCACGTGATACCTGCTCTCTGGCCTTTTATGCTCGAAACTAATGGGTAGGCACGACAGGGCTTGAGAAGGTTTTCAGAGTACGCGCGGGGTCACCGCCGTCCATATCCGTGCTGAAGTTTCACGCATAAGTGATGCTCAAGGTCACGTGTGTCTGCTGGGTGAGGAATGTTTTTCATATTCCATTGAAAAGGAAAGCTTCAGTCTTTCTTTTTTTGACAGGATAGGCTTTGATGACGGAGAGGAACTAAAAGACTGAACTGCTGCCTTGGCGATGATCCGCAGCACAGGGCTGCGCGCTAGGAAGGCAGGGAGTGGAGAGTGCTGGGAAGCTCCTGCTGCCGGGGCTGGTCACGTGCGCCTGGCGGGGGCCATGTGGAGGGCGACTTCCTGTCCCCTGGGTCTGTACGATGGTGTGACTAGAATGGTACTTGATGTGCTGACTCTGCTGGTGGCATCGAAAGCAGTAACAGCGCAGATGCTGAAAACTGAGAGCAAAATTCTTAAAACTTCAGTGCAACCAAGAAAGAAGAAGTGAGTTGAGAAGACATTATTCCTCTTCTCTGTGTGTCTTCATGGGGCGCTTAGCCTGTCGGGGGCTTTGTCCTCCATACTGTGGAAAGGAGAAAGGCAAACTGGAGTGTGTCAGGAGGAGGCTGCTTAAGAGGAAAGGATTCTTTCTGTTAAATCTGTCAACGTCTTGTGTAGTTAGAGCACTTTAAAAATATTTACTAATTCTTCCATTAATCATATTTCAAGTGACAAATGTCTATTTTTGTTACTGTGGTAAACTGAAAGAAAATTGCTAAATAGTACGGATGACCTCTAGAATTTCAAACACATAAAAATGATTAAGAAGAATTTTATTATCTGTGATTGCATTAGAATAAACTCCAAGGATATTAAAATGATATGAATTCTTTTATCCACTCTGATACAATTACCTGAAATGGGAATATATGGAAGAAGATGTAACACCCTTCAGATGGTCCCTTCACGAGCTCCGGGACCTCCCTTGGACTTTGTCTTTCCGTGTGACACTATTTACTGTCCTCTGGAGATAAGCGCGTCATCTGAACTTGGTCCCTAAGCAAGGTTCGCATCTGGCAGCCGGGGCAGAGACCTCGGCCTGGCGTGCCTGAGGGCGGGGCACCCCGGCCAGGGGCCTGCTTCTGCTGGTGCTAGATGTTCAGGAACGGAGAACAAGCCGGACAGGACGGAGCCTCCACGTTCGCACCGGCTCCTGCGGCTGGCCCCTCCTCTTGGAGCCCCCCAGGGGTGGCAGTCAGCAGCAGGGAAGCTGTGGCCACAGAGGCACCGGGGGTCAGGGGCCGCCTTTCTAGCCAGGCTGCACCCCTGGCTCAGCACATGACCCTGACCTGTCCAGCCTCAGACTTAGCTGTAAAGTGAGAACAACAGAGCCCGGCCACCGGATTGTGGGGACTGTTGAGACCCTTTCACAGCAAGCTGGTGGCATTTGCTGTGTGCCAAGCACTCCTGTAAGCACTGGGCACGTGCGAGCGCACTGCGGTCACATTGCCCCCCCCCCCGGAAGTTGCTGCTCTCAGCCCCGTTTCCCAGGTGAGGAGGGGAGTAGACTGCTGAGACCGCAAGCCTGGTCACAAGGCAGAGCTGGGATTCAGTCTTCCTCAAGTGTAATTTCGTACTTGGCACCCTCGTGTGAGTGGCAGAGGACACCCCTGCCTCCTCCCCGCTGCAGTCACAGAGGCATTTAACATTCACACCTTGGCCTGAGGGCTGCCAGCGGCAACTGTTATTTTCTTGTCTTTTGGTCTCACTCTGCAGTTCAGGCTGGCCTTGCGCTCACTTTGTAGCCCAGGGTGTTACCGAACTCCCAACGATCCATCTGCCTCAGCCCCCCGAGTGCTGGGAATACAGGTATGCACCACCAAGCCCGGCTTCTGAGTGCCAGTCCAGTGTTTGGTCTCCTAAGAGATCAAAGTGGCGGAGAGGTAGTAGACGCAGGACTCTCTTGCACGGGTGGAGCGAGGCTGGCAACCCGGGCCCTTCTCCACCGGGCCCCACGTGTGGCTCCCCTCACATCGCTCTTCCCCTGGTGAGGACACCCCTCACTGTAGAGTGGCACTCCTCCCCTGGGCAGCGTGACCCCAACAGTTGTTCATCCTGAACAGGGTTCAGAGATTCTGTGTTGACTGCGCCGTCAACCACCAGACGCTTTCTTGTGGGTCTAGACCCAAGAACAGGTCCTAGATCAGGGAGAGCATTTGAGGGCACTATGCCAGCTGCGGTTGCTGACTGACCATGTGCTAGGGCTGGCGCTGCCTGAAGATGCAGGGCCCCTCGCAGCAGTCACACCAGCAGCAGACCTGCGGGGTGACAGTGCTGTGCCCGTGCTGTCTCCAGCCTTGGGCACTCTGTGAAGTCAAGCCCCGTCCCACAGCTGCCCTTCCCTGGGAGAGGAGTAGCGAGCTGAGCAGCGGCCGCCGCCAGCCTGATGCGGAGCTGGAGGCTGTGCTGAAGGAAGCTCAGTCTCTGCGGGCGAGGCCCAGGCCAGCAGCTCAGTGAGTATGCAGCCACACCCAGATCCTGCCCCAGCCAGCTTCCTGGCTCCACCTGCGTCACTCCTGAGAGGACTTAGAGTTGATAAAGGGCCAGCCAGGGAGCAGGGCTTCTCGGTGTCTGGAGGAAGCCAGCTGCTGGGGGCTGTCGTGAGGGTCTCAGGCGGGGATGCCAGGAGCCGGAGCACAGTGAGTAGAAGTTGCTGATGGGGGCTGGGGCCAAGGTGCCGGCGGCCAGAGGGCTGGGTTCTCCCCGGGCTCGGGCCCCACCCCTCGACCTCCCCTCCCCGTGCCTCTTCCCACCTGTGCCAGTGCGGTCAGAGCAGTCATCCTGCACACTTACCAGCCAGGGCCAGGACATTTGCAGGAGGTAGGAAGAGCCTACTCTGCCATTTTGAGAAAGTCTTCAAGTGCTTGTACGAGAATTCTGACTTAATGAGAGGGACTGTTGTGGTTTTGTTCAAGCTGGAATATACTCAGAGAGGACGGGCTCCCGAGCCAGGCATTGGTCCAGGACCGAGGGCAGGCCTCCCAGAGTGAGCTGTAAGCATACAGGCTCCCCCGTCAGGTCGACTCAGGGCTTCTCTCAGCCAGCCCAGAGTTACACTGCACAGCCACAGGCTGTCTTCCTGGGGATGGCTGCGGTGTGTCCTGAGATCTTCTAGGTTCCTCTAACTGCAGCCCGCCTCCAGTGTTCCCTGGAGGAGACCCTGGAGCCCGGCCAGTCCCAGCCTGAGTCCTTCGTCCACACTCAGGCTCCTTCTTGCTTCTCACCCAGCTCTGTTGTGTGTCTGTGAACGAGTCTGTCTCCATCGTAGCCCTGCAAGCTGCTCGGGTGCCAGGAGCTCGGAGCCCAGGAGCTTGAGTTCCAGTCTCGGTGCAGCTGCTTAGTAGCTGTGTGACGTGCGTGTCCCCTCTCTGTGCTTTGGTGTCTTCTTCGGTGAGATCAGAACAAAAGGACATAAATCCTCGCTCCGCAGGCTGGGTCTGAGAGCCGTGCATCCATGTGTGGAGATACACGGAAAGCGCTTAGAGGCGTGCTGGGTGCGCAGCACGAGCTGGGCCGTGCTTTGGCCGCGACCGGCACCCCACGGAGCCTGGCCATCATTGCTATGGAGTGAATGTTTGTCAAATAGTGCCGAGGAGCACCTCCTCCTCTGTAGATCTCCTGTAGCTAGTTGGAGAGATGGGAGAAGGAAAGAAAGAAAGGAGAGGTGTGCTGCTTCTTTCCAGCATTTGCAGTGTGCGAGGAGGGCCTCAGCCCTCTGAGGAGTGTGGAGCGGTGTGAAGATCTGTGGTCTGACCCTCTGAGGTGTGGGGTTTCCTGGGGCTGGGGGCAGAGCGGTGTGCTCTGCGGGGACCGCCTGCAGGGCGCACTCCGGAGCGCAGGGTGCACTCGGGGGCCAGGGTCTCTCCTGATCCTCTTCTCTGCTCCATGCAGCCCGGCCACCACCCCTTTCTGTGGCAGTCTCTGGGGAAGGCACATCTTAGAGACTTGAGCTTCTATCGCTGCGTCTTGAAAGAAGTGAGCATAATTGAATTGCTGATACAAGTGGGTACTTGTGCCAGGCCCAGGTCACCTGCATCTCTATGGAAACACATGTTTGCTTTAAAACCTAGCAATCAAAAGCATAGCTTTCTAGGAGCCAATGTCAAGTCCCTTTTAGAAAAAGGTATTTATTTATATTCTCGGGCTGTAAGAGACCTATGAAATCAAATAATTTCAAATTAAATAGAAAATCCACGCCATGGTGAATGCTAACAAGGCTTTGCCCTGCGTCCTCCCTAAGCTCGCACCGCCTGAGATCTGCTGCATTTATTTTCGCTGCCCTTTGCTCCTTGCTCTCGTTTGCATTCTGCTGCCGTGGGGAGGTGGTTTGGCATTTTATGCAAAATTGGTTAATCTTCATTCATAAGCACTTGCCAGTACTAAAATGGAAAATTCGAGGGCAAACCTGCCGTACAGTGAGCTCTGTGCTCCTCTCTGCCTCTCTCTGGGAGTGCAGCCTGCCAGGCAGCTCACAACAGGCCGGTGATCCTCGGCAGGCTGACGAGGGGAGCTTCCCCAGCAGGGCCCGAGACCACACCAGCACATCCTCCCCCGGCTCCTCTCCAGCAATATCCTAAGTGATTGGAAGCTTTTATCTGCCTCCTGAGCAAACCTTTTCGAGGAAGTATTGACTGTTAATGACCTGTTTAAATAAAACATTCAATTTTCTTTCTTCCCCCCACAAAGAACTTAGTAGGCAGTGACATTTCTAAACCAAAGACCTGCTTTTCAAAAGAGGCTGAACTGGAGCTTTTAAATGGGATTTTTTTTCCTAACGTTTGCCCTTAAAATGCTTTTTAGTGAAGTTGTCCTAACAGTGGAGTACGTTGACGTGTCTGAACGAAAATGCAGCCTTGAGATATTTTTCTTCCAAATTAAACAACAACCAGAAGTCTTCAGAATTTTCCCATGAAATTCATATTTCTGTCACCGCTTTCTGTGTCATTCATATGTCCCCATTCCTTGTCATTAAGGAGACTTTCCTCTAAGGAACGCGGTGCTACATGGGAGCTTTTATTAAACTATGGGAATTGAGCCATAGGAAAAGCTGAGGCTGTTGACATAAAGAAGAGTGAGTTCAGCGCCGGGGCATGAACAGCAAGGGCTTTGAGGGAGCAGAGGAAGAGGGTGAAGGGAGAAGAGAGCTGGGCAGAGAGCGGGAGGCGACAGGAAGCCTATGACACACGCTTAGAGACAGTCCCCATGTACAGCAGAAGCACTGGTTCTTGCTGCAGCTGGCTTGCAGGTTCTCTTGCTCACTCCTGGGGCAAGTGGAATATGCTCTATACAGAAAACGGCCTAGGGTTCTGGAGACGCCACCTGTGTCCTTGACTCATTGATTGACTGATTCATCGATTGGTTGGTAGGTTGGTTTTGAAGTGCATTTTAAGCTTTCTGCCTCCCTGGGACAGCCAGGTGTCCCCATCAACTCTCAATGGCCATGGACAGGTGATGCCGAGCACTATAAAGGACGTCACTTCCTGCCTCCCACAGCGCAGCTGGAGCCCAGCAGGGAGCCTTGCTAGCCTGTGGACAGATGCCCAGCTGCTGCCCAAGCTTACCGGCCAAGGACCAACTGATAGATGCAGGAGAAGGAAGTGACTCAGTCTGTGAGCTACTCCTTCGCCAGAGGTACTAGGATACCCTGAAGTACATAGATAGGCACATGCCTCTGAAGACAGTTGCATTCTGGGGCGCCTTTGGGTGCTGCGTGACGGAGAGGCTCCTTGCTGCTTCCGTGTCACATCACGCCACATCACACCATGGCCACTCCCAGCTTTCCCAACTGAAGAAGCTGTGAGAACATATCTCCAGATCAGCCTGGTTGTGCTTTGTCTTGGCGATGCCAAAGGTAGCCACATGGACATTTTAGCTACTTTATAACAGAGAAGCAGTGAGCACTGTGCCCTGTGGTGCCAAGCAGCCCTGGGCTGATCGCAGGGCTGAGGAAGCCACCCATTACTGGCAGCAGCCCTCTGCCTGCCCGCCCGGGGAGGACGGTGCGGGAGGCAGCCGTCTGCTTTGACCAGGCACATCCCTGCCTGCTCCTGGGAGTCTGCTGTGTGCTTCTGTGCCCGCACTGCCCGTCACGGCAGCCCAGGACCGCGGAGGCGGGGCCCAGGACCGCGGGGGCGGGGCCCAGGACCACGG